CCCTCCAGGAATTGAGTTTGAGACCATTGGCTTAGAGCAGGGATGTCCAAACTCAATTCCTGGAGGGCCACAGGTCTGCAGGTTTTAGGTTTAACCACTTCCAACTCACACGCGCTTAATAGTCTCTATTAGTCTTTGACACCATACTTAGTTGAATCAGCTGAGACCTCTTGACTGAGAAATGGAGTTCATGTATTCATTCACAGTGAAATGAACCGCTAACTTATCCAGCACATGTTTTACGCAGCAGATGGCCTTCCAGCTGCAACCCATTACTGGGAAACACCTATACACATTCATTCACACACATACACTACAGACAATTTTAGCTAACCCAATTCACCTAGCGCATGTTTTTGGACTTGTAAGGGAAACCGAAGCACCCGGAGGAAACCCACATGAACACGGGGAGAACATGCAAACTCCACACAGAAATGCCAACTGACCCAGCCGGAACTTGAACCAGCGATCTTCTTGCTGTGAGGTAATTGTGCTACCCACTGCGCCACCGTGCTGCCCCGGAGTTAAATAATATGTTAGTACAATATAGTTACTTACTGCGAGGCTCACTCATGGTGACAGACTCAATGAAGTTTTGAGGAGTCATATACAGCTGTCCCTCATACTCCACTGAGCTGAAGAGACGGAAACGATGCTCATGGGACGACATGTACACGTCAGTTTCATCAAAATCAAACACTGGAGCCTGCAAAAACAATGACAATGATGACACAATTAGTTAACAAGTTTTTTTTTTTTTTTTAAACAAGTGGATCTCTATAAATTCTTACAAATTCTTTGTGTTTGGTTTTGCTCAGATAAACATGAAAAGAATATTAAAGGTCACCATGAGGGGCATCATGTGGAATTACTCAAGACTGCAAACTTATTCTTATCACTGATTTGCTTAAGTTTTTTGGTATGCGTCTTGGATTGATAATTTAATAAAAATATAGTTAAATATATTAAATGTACTATACAAACACTAAAACATTATGCTTAGATTGTATTATGGCCTTAATTGCTAGCATGCTAATTATACATTTGAAACAAAAGTCTATAATGGAACTTAATGAATGATTAAAGCTCTGCAGGAGACAAAAAATGAGGTACTATTATCTAGATCAATACAGTATTGTCTTTGAAACATTGAGCATGAATACATCATGTTATTTTATAATGCTCATTTTATATCATTTTATTATTTATTTATTATTTATTTATTTATTATACACACATACACACACAAAACACACATATTTACAAATGCATATAATATCATATCGTTGCAAAACGAAAACGTTAAGCAGTGTTAAATTCAAAATTTAAAAAAAGCATTTTTAATAATAAAAAGAATGTCATCATAGGTAAATCAATAAATAAAAATAATAAATTAAGAGTATAATGTTATACTTTATCAATGCAATTTCTGGTATAAAATCAAAGCTAAACATTTTAATGAAATCAAAAACACTGTTAAAGTACATTACAAAGTTGTAAGTATGAAAACACTCCTATATGTCTCCGTAATACCAAACCAAGTAATTTTTTTCTTTCTTTAATGTGGTAAAACCACATTAAGTAACACGCACGCATGAACGCACACACGGGATGAAAGAGCTTGACTTTCCACCCCAATCAAGAAAACATTCAGTAACTAAGTGGAACAGTCAGACCAAAACATCTGGCCGCCCATGGAAACTAAACCTGACCGTCTGCCAAACTGACAAAAAAAAATCTGTTTATACGCACGCGCCAAAGAATTCTATGCTACTATATGACAGCGCACAGGTTACTGTTTGACGGGCCTCTGTGATACAGCACAGATAAGTGCACAACTTTTTTTAACCAACCGTAACGATTTGCTCATGTGATCTGAAACAGCTCAGTCATTTCAGCACCATGACCGAGGAAAGCGCCTTTTTCCTGCAGCATCACACAAATGCGCATTGTCATAGTCTAGGTGCATTGGAAATTATCCCAATGGGACATTGGGACAATTCACAAAACTCTACAGCATTAAAACAGTTTTCAAAGCTGTCCTACTTGCAGTGGATACCAATAAACCACTGTCAGGAAAATACAACCTCTAATAAGAAGCAGTATTACGTGGCACTGAGAACACTGGGTACAGTCATACCTTCTCCTTTGCGGCTACAGCGGGCAGTGAAGGCAGCAGAGCCCGACAGACTGTTCGGTTTATCGGGGCTTTCCTCCCTCCAAATCCGCACATTTCTGAATAATAATAATACAACACCGCTCCTCCGGCCGCGACGCCCACTGCAACTGCTAGTCCTGTGCGTGTGCATCGTTTATCCTTCACCGGAGAGCGAAAAAGCGCGTTCCGTGCAGCTAAAGAGAGCGACAAACTCTTAAATATGACTCTGCGCACAGCGGCCATTATTGTTGGTATGACAGAATTTGCACAATATTCTCGAATTCTCATGCATTCATCGCGAGATGTTGCTGCTCCCTCTCCGGGATCACCCTGAACGGAGCAGCAGCAGGTCCTGCACGCATCTGTGCGCTGCTCGTAAACATACATGTGAAAAATGCGCACGTTTACGCACTCCGGATAAATGAAAACGCTTGCCAGCGCACATGTGTACTGGTAATTATGGGATATGATTGGGCGGGTCAAACTTGAACCCACCAAAAAGAAGTCAAATCAAAAGGATATGGTGTTTTTTTATACATATAATTATATATAATATAAAATAAAGTTATAATTGCTACAAATTGGTATGAGTTCGCAAACCAAGTCTAAATGAGACTAACCAGCATCGACAAATCAAAAGTACAAACAAGTTAAACTTTATTAGCTATAGTTTCACAGATTTAAATGGCAGCAGATTGTCAAACTCTGTAAATATATACATATATATTTTTCTTGCTCTTTTCTTTTTTTTCTTCTTCTTTTTTTTTTTTTTACAAAAAACAAGCAAACAAACAAACAAACAAACAAACAAACAAACAAACAAACAAACAAACAAAGTGGTTAAAGTAATGGTGATGCATGGTGATCACAAAACAAAACCATGGTGATCACAAATTATTGAGGATATTTTAAACAAACCTGTGGGTTATTTGCCAAAAATAGATGGTTACATAATAAAACATTGGCTAATCTTTGTGAGGGATTGAATCCATTAAATAACTTGCACTGCCTGATCCAAGTAAACACATTTAAAAATCTCTTCTTTTCAACCTTCTCAGACCCTTTTAAGATCTATTCGCACATACAGTTCAATCCCTATTGCATAATTACGCAAATCAGTTTTGCCACTGTACAGTCACTAAACTCACAGCTGCTTTGCTCATCTGCAGTGCGACTTCAAAGTCTGATCAATATGAAGTTGTTTTATACAAAAACGTCAAAGGGACTTGTTTTAGGTTCACTCATGCAGCAAACTGTCAATGTCACCGCGAAATCTGGCACATAACTGACATCTCTATTGTAAGCGATCGATCCGCTGCGCCTATGGATTCGATCCTGCTCTAGCTGACCACATTGATTTTGGTTTAAGGTATTTTTGGAGATCATAAATACTAATGAGCTAAGGGGAACAACGTGGGAGAACGTGTCCCATGAGAGAGCCGTTGATAAATCACCTACTGTGGAAGTGATCTGTCCTCTTGAGAGATTTACCAGAAAAGGGGTATGGCACTTAAATGTTTCTAGAATATACTGCATATAATAATAATAATAATAATAATAATAATAATAATAATAATAATAATAATAATAATAATATGTATTATAGCAAAATAAATATCATCCAATAAAAACGATAGTTTTGTGGAGAATACCGTAAATTTAATTGCATTCGATTGCGCACGCATGCCATTTTAAATTAATAAGGCAACATCATCTCCATACCGACGTAATCTTTCATGTAACATCTACTTTGAGGCATGTTCTCATCTGTTGGGCTGGAAAATTTCTATATCAATCACTCATAGTATCAACGATTTGCCATCAAACAGTTCGTTTGCTTTGTGTTAATGACCCTGCTTTTGTGCAGTAATGAATCTTTGATCTCTGATATCTTTGATACTTCATCTCAACTCATGTTATGCTGGAACTGTTCAAAGGCACCTTGACATCAGTCAGATTTGACAGTGCAGTGCGCAGATGTGCAGGTTGTTTTGACTTTCCCTTCTTTATTCTTTTAAAGCCATTTACATGCACACTTTATAGGTCGTATAAATTTACACCTGGCTAAGGCAGTCGAGCGAAAGTTTAAACCCAAGTATGATGGTATAAAGCAAGTCGCAAATCAAGAACACTTTTTGGCACTGATAATAAACACACACACACACACACACATACACACGCACACACCTTGAAGGCTCTCTCTTTTTCTCGCTCTCTCTCTCTCTCTCGTTCTCTCTCTCTCTGTCGCTCGAGCACCGCCCCCTTTCTTTTCCTTTTTTTCCTCCTTGGCTTCCACCTGCTTCACAGTAGAGATTCGCCAGAGCGCGTCAGTGCGCGTAAACCCCGGGGATCGGAACGGATCGGTACACAGTGCGCATCCTCTTCTCCATCCAACTGCACTTTTCTTTTCCTCGCTGCAAAGATTAGCAGAGCGCTCTCTAAAATGTCTTCATCTGCACTTTTATCATAATCCATCAATGGGTTATGCGCGTGGATGCAGATGAAACCGATCATCAAAGAAGACAGAAGAAGGGGATCCAAACGATCAAGGAGTTATGTTTCAAACAGTCATCTATAAAAGGCTCCATTAGCATATGTCAAGAGGGCCATTTACATAAGGGCCATATTTAGGCTGGTGTCTCAGAGCAGAGGCAGTCACATCCAGAGAGCACAAGAGGAGAGAAGCCGCATAAGCTTGAGTGTGCTGGAGTGCGTAACAGAGAGAGTATTGGATACACGGGGGACCGGAGCAAAGGGGAGTAGCCTGGAAGGTCGAGAGAGCATGTGCTGAACCTGAAGCGAGCGAGAGAGAGAGAGAGAATCGGATGTAAACACGCATTGACTGTCAAAGCCGCAAGCAGTGACTGCGCAAAACACCAGGGAAAGAGAAACCACAGGGGTTCTCCTCGCGGTAACTTTTCTTCGAGTGTCGGTGATGGGTGCAGTCGGCGAGCTGGTGGGCAGCTTCTCTCACGGCTTGGAGAGCTTTGCGCACGGGTCTCATTTCGTCCTCACGCCCCCCGGGGACTCTGGTGCGCTGATGAACGAGCACCTCGTCTCCGCCGAGCGCCTGTCACGCAGCACTTCACCGGACCTGACGCATCTCAAAGGGATCCTCCGTCGGCGGCAGCTCTACTGCAGGACCGGCTACCACCTCGAGATATTACCGGACGGTTCGGTCCAAGGCACGAGGAAGGACCACAGCAGATTTGGTAAGTATTATCTGGCGTTGTTTTATAATTGCAATTAATCAGTGCATGCTTCACAGTATCGAAAGAACACTGTGTATTCTTTAGACTGTGCACATGCAGTTTACTTCTATTCAATGATAATCTGATATTTATCATTATTCAAAGCAAACAACATGCATTATGAATGTTTTAATAATGAAATTGCTGACTTGGTCAGTCTCTAACTGCACTGTAATGTAAAGTGTGATATTATTATGGCCACTGACTATTATTATTATGTTCATAAACTGTCATACTGTGTTCGAATAGCATTATAATATAGCAAAACACAGTGATTAAGTGTGAAAGACGTCATGAATTAAGTATAGGCCAGTTTGATGCCACTGTTGCAGGTGCTTGTCCTGCTGTCTCAACTGGAAACTAACAGCTGTGCTTTTCTCACAGGTATATTGGAATTCATTAGCCTCGCTGTGGGGATGGTGAGCATCCGTGGTGTGGATAGCGGATTGTATCTGGGAATGAACAGCAAGGGCGAACTGTACGGATCTGTAAGTATAGCACAAATGCATTTGGTTCCGGCACTGCACCAGCCACATTTTATTTTGAGTAATGCAACAATTCATTTCATTCATAGCCCGCCCGTGCTAAAATTGAGAATGTGATTTATGGTGCAATTTCAAATAGCCTTTGGACACAGTTTATCCTTCTGTTATGCAGTGCGATTAACCCTTGCCTCCCCTTCTCTGCCTCTCTTAGGAAAAGCTGTCAGCCGAGTGTGTGTTCAGGGAGCAGTTTGAGGAGAATTGGTACAACACTTACTCTTCTAACCTGTATCGGCATGGCGAGCGTGGATCTCATTATTATGTAGCCCTCAACAAAGATGGGACGTCCAGAGATGGGGCACGCTCCCGGAGACACCAGCGCTTCACGCATTTCTTACCGCGGCCTGTGGATCCAGAGCGAGTTCCTGAGCTTTACAAGGATGTTCTAGGTCACAGCTGAAACCAATGAACCTCAAACTCAAAACCACCCCAAAAAGCACCTGCATGTCCCCCTCGGACAGAGCGCTCTCTGGAGAAAGAAGTGCAGGCGAGGGGGAAAAGTGGTCCTCATTTGAGGTCCAATGTTGGAGCAAATGCAGGAGATGGAAAGCCCTTGATTGGAGTGGAAGGAAGCAGGCATATCCGGACTCTGGATAGTTCCTGAAAGACAGAACAATAATCTGGATCCATTCACCAAGGGAGGTTGGATTAAAATAAAACAAGAGGGAGAATGACAGACATCTCTTACTACTACTGAAAATTCTAGAAGGCTTCTGAAGGAATTCTGCGAAATGCTTTTGAGATACTTTTCACAAAACACTGGCATGGACAGGCGGGAGACATAAACTCCCCCAAACTCAATTTCTCTTTAGGTCCTTTAATTTATGTTTTTTAAAGATATTTATTTTATATATTTATTTATTTTGAAAGTATATTTTTACAAGAATATATGCAAGATGTACCAGGAGATCATGAGAGCTTTATTTTCTACCACTATAGAGACGTGACTTCTAGAGATAGAACTACTGAAGAAAGTATTTTCTTATGAGTTACATTTTCAACTTGTATGTGGTCCCCCCTCCGTTTTTTGTTTATCTCTTATGTCATTAAACCAGATCCTTAAGAGCCTGCGAATGTTACAGAATTCACTGGGGAATTAAACAGTTGAAATGATTGCATTTTGTTGTGTCTGTCCTTTCAATAGGAACATAAGGTCACCAGTCAGAGGTGAATGGTTATTGAATTTCTATTTGGAGAAATAAAGGTCTGATTCTCATTGATCTGACTGCGGCGAAATGAAATCATATGAGTTTTTAATCACTTAAAAGCCTAAACGGTGGAGATGTAAGTCACGATCAGTGTTGGGTATAACTAGTTACTGTTATTAAACCACTTTTATGCTGATAAAGTAAAATAAAGGATTACTTTTCATCATTAGGTCATTCAAAGTTACTTAAAATAAACTTGCCCAAAAATGCTGTAAATAAATTCAACAGTTCTGTATAAATCAATACAGAAGAGCAAAGTATTTGCAAATATATACATTACACTACCTGACGAAAGTCTTTTCGCCTATCCACGTTTTAGGAACAACAAATAATAACTTGACTTCTAGTTGATCATTTTGCATTAGAAGTGGCTTATATGAAAGGCAAAGGCCTCTAGATTACGCTTATTTTACCAAAATAAAATATGATCATGCCTTAATTTTTAATTATTTAATAAGGCACTAAGGTCTGACATTGCTTAGACAAAAGTATTGTCACGTTACAGAGTTAATGTTCAGTATAGAATATAAAGGCACGGTGCAGTGGAAAAATAATCAATATTGTGTATGACACTCCTGAGCTTGGAGGACTGCATCCATACATCTCTGCAATGACTTAAATAACTTATTAATAAAGTCAACTTTTTTTAATGGCAGTGGCAAAGAAAGCGTTCTTGCAGGACTCCAAGAGTTCATCAAGATTCTTTGTATTCATCTTCAATGGCTCCTCCATCTTACCCCAGACATGCTCAATAATATTCACATCTGCTGACTGGGCTGGCCAATCTTGGTGCACCTTGACCTCCATGCGGGTTCCAATAGATTTTTGTGATGATAGGGATGCAGTTCAACAGATGATTCATCATAAAATTCTACCGTCTGCCACATTTTAAAACGATCAACTAGAAGTCAAGTTCTTATTTGTTGCTCTTACAACTGGGATCGACGACAAGACTTTAGTGTATATCATACTAAAGAAGGTTAGATTATTCAGATGAATACACATGCTATATATAGATATCAAAATATATATTATGTATACAATATGGTGTCATCACTTTGAAACAATTTGTGTTTTGATATATGTATAACTTTTCTTAAGTGTTTTGTTAATAAATCTAAAACATATTAAGTATTAAGACAGTTTGATATGCAGATTCTTTGATACTTATAAGAACTTTAGTAATGACTCAAGTAAATGCTTATTGAGTAATTAAGTTACTTTTCCTAACACAAACGTTGTCCGAACACAAATCGAATAAGTTAACTTAATTGTTTACCAATATAAGAAAATTTAACATAAATCAATGAAGCTGTCCCCAAAAAACCTCAAGAAATGAGTTAATTCAGCTCATTTTGAATATATTTGTTTGAATAAGCAGCAAAAATAGATTTTTTGAGAGTAAAACGTAATTTAAATACAGTTTTAATGATGTAGTTAACTAATAATAAATCACATATTTAAAGTAACTAACCCAGCAATGGTCACAATAATGCAATTAGCTAAAAATGTTCATTTCATGCTTCAAGATCTTTGGATTTCTCTCAGCTCCCTGCTTTCCCTGACACCCTGCTGTTAAAAAAGGCTGCACAATGCTAACATTAAAAACACAATGACCCCAAAAAAAGCGATTTCCACTTTCTTTTCTCAGCCTACGGCAACCTTCTCAAGTGACACCCTGGGCTCTCCACAAAGTGGCCTTTTCTTTTGCTAAGTGTCTTCTGAAAGGATTCATAAAAGCTCTTGAAGCTGCAGGATTGCGGGATGTATTTGCTGAGCCAATGCAGGTGGAAGTTTTCTTAGGTCATTTTTAAGACAGACAGAGTCACGTGTGGTCTGAAAACACCACAATTAAACAGACTAGCAAGTGCTTTGTGTTTTTCCCCCCCATCTCTTATTTCTTTCTGTTTGATGCTGTTCGCTTCCTTTCTAATGTGATTCATAAGGCTTTGATGACAGTCGATGAGCTGGCCGCCTGTCAATCTGGCTGTCTGTGAGAGTGATTTGACTGCGTGAGTGTTTAAGAAAGGAAATGATACTTTTTAAGTGTAAGGGGAGAGGTGGCTCTGGGGCACACATGCAATTGCAGAGTAACACCCATATGAGGGCTCTTGGTCATGCTTTGGAGGAATAAGGGGCCTGGAGAGCATTGTCAGATTCTGTTTTTTACCCTTTAAAATTTTCATATTGGCTCAAAATAAAAGTCAAAATTCAAACAGCAAATAAAATTGCCATAAAATGATATTGAGTAATGATTTAATTTTTTTTACGTATGTTTTTGTTACTCTAACTTAATAAAATAAGTTTACAGTGTTTTCATTGTTTCGATTTGATGTTAATTTAAGCTGATATTAACTATAAAAATTTAAGGCAGGAACTAATGTTTACATTGTTAAATTATTGTAAGTTAACTATATATTTAAATAGTTTTCATCCAGTCATACAAAAGTGTCAAAGGTCAGTTTCATCTAACAGGAAACAAATAGCGTTATTTTAAATGTATAATGTTATTTAATTACCCTGAATAATGTGTCATAGTTTGCTCCAAGATGTTTAACAACACAACTGTTTTCGTCTTTGATAGTAATAATAATAGTAATAATAGTAATAATAGTAATAATAATAATAATCCAAAAGCAACAAATCATTATTTTAGATGATTCAGATCTCAAAAAGATCTTACAGATGGATTTTTGAAGGATCATGAGTGTGATGGCATCTGTGAACATAAGACATATATTCCCTTAAAATAATTAACTTATTATAAATAAATAAATAAACAAACAAACAAACAAACAAACAAACAAACAAACAAACAAACAAACAAACAAACAAACAAACAAACAAACAAACAAACAAATAAATAAATAAATAAACTTTTTAATGATATTGATTCGAATGATAAAACTTCATATTATCTATATTTGAAGTGAGAATTATTAGCCCCCATTTGATTTTTTTCTTTTTTTTATTATTATTTCCCAAATGATTTAACAGAACAAGGAAAATGTCACAGTATGTCTGATAATGTTTCTTCTTCTGGAGAAAGTCTTATTTGTTTTATTTCGGCAAGGATAAAAGCAGTTTTTAATTTTTTAAAAGCCATTTTAAGGTCAAAATTATCAGCCGCTTGATAGTCTATCTTAACAATAACTTAAAATGTCAACTTTAAATGTCACTTTAAGCTGTATAGAAGTGCCTTGAAAAATATTTAGTCAAACATTAATTACTGTCATCATGGCAAAGATAGTATAAATCAGTTATTAGAAATGAGTTATTAAAACTATTGTTTAAAAATGTATTGAAAAAAATCTTCTCTCTGTTAAACAGGAAATGGGTAAAAAACAAACGGGGGGCTAATAATTGAGGGGGCTAATAATTCTGACTTTAACTTTATATATATATATATATATATATATATATATATATATATATATATATATATATATATATATATATATATATATATATAAGATTTGAGTAAAATCACTGTCTATTGAGACAATCACCTTTTCCATTTCTTCGTTGCGTACAAAATAGTGAACACAATCTCTCATTTACTGCGTGATTTATTGTGACGACTTTAAATTTAATATTAAGAAATATGACGTTAAGTTTCAACCATAAATAAACAAATAAATAAATAAACTTTTTAATGATACTGATTCAAATAATAAAACTGTATATAATCTAGCCAACAACCCTATCACTAGTAAAATACAAAGTAATATTAAAAAACACCCGTTTTATATATTTAAAGGATGTAGTCCGAAAACCTGTGTAAATGTTAGATATCAAAATTAAACTATAAAACCTGCAATTATTTACCCTCAATTATCATAATAACTAACTAAATAAAAAACAAAACTAAATCATGATGAATATCAGTTAGAGAAAATAGTAACAGATAATAGAGAAATTGCATCAGAAACACCGTCCTGTGTAAACGTCCACGGCAGAACTTTACAGCTTACATAACTGACATCATAATGTAGGGTAGGAGTGTCTGAACTGTGTGTCTTTTACCCTTTTGGAGGGTGGGATGATACTTCTGTTTGTGTGCGCAGGCATATCAGCTCTGTGTGCTGTGTGATCTTGAAATCTCTGTGATGATGAGCCAGGGGTTCTCCTAACTGAGAGTCAGTCTGCCTGTGCGCACACACACATACGCACACGCACATACACAACACACACACAGGGGTTTTCCCCCAAGCAGAAACACTGCTACAGCTAAGGATGTGGTGAAGTTGATGTGGCCAGATCGACAGATCTACTTTTAATTTATTTTCACCTCAGAGAAAGAGAGAGAGTGTGAGAGAGCGTGTGTGGGAGAGAGACTTGACTTTTCACAACACTTTAATTATTAAACATTATACAGCCTTAGTTGGCGGTTCATTCCGCCTCAGACTAATAAAGGGACTGTGCCGAAAAGAAAATAGATGAATAAATGAATGACAACAACATTTCAGATGGTTTACAATGTGATCAGTCCACTGGTTTTACCAAGTTTGTTATCAAATAATCTGTTAAAGGGAACCCATTGTGCTCTTTTTACAAGATGTAAAATAAGTCTCAGATGTCTCTAGAGTGTGTGTGTGAAGTTTCAGCTCAAAATATCACACAAATAATTTTGTATCAACTCTTTGAAACTGACCCTTTTATGCTTGTGCCATTTTGGTGACTATTGCTTTAAATTCAAATGAGATTGTGCTCCCAGCCCTCTTTTTAAAATAAAAAAGTATATACAGTGCTAAAACTCTAATGGCGGATGGCTGCTTGTCACCCAGGGTTGTTTATGCTAATGAGGAACTAATGGGTGGGGCCGATGGCACGTACAAATGGGGGAATGTCAATCAAAATGTTTCTGCAGACTGATTTAAAAAAAAATGATAAACATAATATTTT